ATAGATCCTGTGGCAAGTAAAGGGTCGATAAATAATCCCATGATGTGCATATAAGTGCATCCCGTGTGCATATATCCACATATTCAAAGTGCATAAAACGCTGCTGCAGACCCAACCTACAAAACTGCATATGCATACATGTACTTCTATAAGCAAACCATACGAGTACGTAGACTACCAGAACTGGCAGGGCCTAAGAAAAAAAAAAATCTAAAAATCTTCAGCAGGTCCACAAAACCCATATCCATACAACGCTCTTTATATTGAAAACGAGCGATAAATAAGCCCCATAAGTGTGAATGCACATGACATACCCATATGCACAAATTCCACCACCCAATATATCATCCATCCAGACTCTGCATTCCGTACCACCGTAAAACTCAAGACTTCATGAAGCAACAATCCCAACCTGAATTCCGACATCCACAGCAGGGGACAAAACCATAAATGCACTTTGCATTCAAATAGCGACCAACTGCATTAAATCCCTCAGCGTTCCAATCAATAACTTCACTCGTCCCTCTGACAAAGCTCATACGAAATTGCATATAATTATAATAAAACAGTGCAAAAATTCCAAAAAAAAACCTAAATCTCAAAATCAAATATTTGTTCGAATTTTTGAAAAAAAAAAAAAAAAAACATAAAATCCCCATACCCATCGCTCTACACTTTACAGAACCAAGCACCTCTAATACAGACAGTTCGATGCAACTAGACAGATTTGATGCATCGGCGGATAAGTAGCGAGGAGTTCTCACTTCATTTATCAAGAAACTAGCCCACCTGTCGTACCATGGCTATACAGTTGGTACACATGGGGTCCCATCCAAGAAGTAACACCATACCGCGTTACCATGTTACATGCCAGTCCATTACACCTGTATGGAATACCATGCTCGAATATAGTACCTATAATACAGTCTATACCCGCTATACTATACTATAGCAAATACTGTATAGTACATACCGACTGCATACTAGCAATATATACACTCCTCCAGACCAATACACTTTAACACAGGTAGAAGGTAGAAACTGATATACGAGCTTCCCGTCGTTCACGGGTCAGACAAGATAGGAATCATTATCTTTCTTTTATATTTTCCACTATCAAGATTTTATTAGTTCGAAAAACATCCACGCAGATATACGCACGGCAATTAATCTGTCAGCGCGTGTCCATTATTACATGTCTTGTCTGTTTACATTAAACGATGTCGTCTGCCCTCGCGAAATAAGCCAACAGCATCGTATCTTCGACTCGTCCTTCCTCCCGCCCAATCCTTGACTCCTCTTATAGAAAAGTCTCCGAATACAGTACGAGCTCGTTCTAACCTAACCTAACCCCGTCAAAGGAGAAGCGGCTGCGTAAATTATCCCGGGCGGTGTGTACTTACCCGGAGATTTACAAGCGGGCAACGCGCGTTTGATTTACACACCGGTGCTCGAAGCAGCTCGGCTAGATGGTAAAAGGGTTTTAGAGGTGAAATATGCAACAGGATACGCCATGATCTGACGATTCCACCACCAGTCATCCTTGGGACGGATAATAATATAATAAAGTAAAAGCCAATATCACACTGAACAATAGACAATAACAGTATCACCTCGATAAAAGACCAATACAAAACGTACAATTTTATATACAATTAACCATACGTCCTATCGCAGGTAGTAAGTAAGTAATACCTATAGCTATATCTCGAATGTCTCAAAGTTGGTACCTTGGAAATAAACGTGAAGCCCGGTAAACGGCGTCCGTTCATATTGCCGAGCTATGAATCGTCGGAGCGTGAGATCGTAAAGTCGTCCTTATCATCTGCTGAATCTTAATGTAGGGTAGGTACGTACGTATCTGCGTGGTTACATTGGCTGTAATACGTATAAGGGATGCACGGGTGTGCCTGCGTACGTTACACGAAGGAGCGCATGGTAGGAGGTAAAGAAATAAGAATAATAAGAAAAGTAGGTGGAGGAGGATGGGTTAAGAAAAATTGTGTAAAAAAAAGGATCCAGGGTGGGGATAGTGCACGTATGCAGAGCCGCACAGGTGTCCGACGCCTCAAAGAACATCTTTATGCTCCACTCATAACCTCTGGAACTCGCGCGATATTGCTCGGAACATATATTACACGTATACAACTCCGTGCACGCACGGAGGTTACGTTTATATCGGTATACGAATACCCGAGCAGGCCAAGGGAATACTTTTTGGCGTTGTATTGAGAATACGTCACAGTCCCGTGTTCTTGCGAATTATCCGGAAATCTTAACTGGGCCTGGGATCTTTGTGATAAGAGGTTAGATCTGCACTGTGGATATCGCGAGCGTTATGGGAATTACCTGGGGAGGACGGGTTGGCTGTCTAGGATCCTCGGAGGTAGGGAGGTCCGGAGTGGCATTGTCATCCGCCACGAAAAGGAGGCGGACATTCAAATAAAGGCTGAAGAAGCCAACCTGGTGACGAGGTCCCGACGCTACCCTCTTTTGAAGTCGCCGACGTTGTCGGCATCTGATTAGCATCCCTCCACCCCACTCTGCTCTCCCGCAGCTTCCCCATTTGAACCAGCGAGCCAAGTGACGGGGGGAGGACGATGGAGAAGGAGGAGATGAAGCCGCCTTAAGGATCGCGTTGCGTAGAGGAGAGAGAGAGACAGGAAGTCGCAATGTCAGACCTGACTGAATCTCATCCGTCCGTCCGTAAGGTCTGTCTAGTCTCTCGGGCTGCGTCTCCCCTGAGTTATTCCTGTCGGACTACTACTACTATTGCTACTATCGCTACTATTCCTACTACCACTATTGCTGATGCTGATTCCAGCGGACGGCCGAGCGGCGATGTCATTTAAATGTCCCTTTGCGGAGCCCCGGTTTTTAGTCCTCATCTACCGGGAAGCCAACGGCCCTCAAGACTTGACTAGAGATTACTGCTATCTGGTATGTCGCCGTTCTGTAAACGGGATCGGAGAAAATTGACGTTGGCACGTTGAACCTCGCTGCTCGGACGTAGTTCAGTGCTGTAGGCGAGACGTTCGTCGTGCGATTGGAAGCGATGGCTGACTTCCTGAATAAATGAAATATGGGCCAGGGGTAAGTGGGAGGGTGGGGGAGGGGGAGATTACGTAAATTGTACCCGGTGCAAAAATATTTTGAATGATTCGAACCGCGGGGGGACGAGGGGGGAGGAATATATTTTTTGTCCGGCATTCGGGGAAGGGACCACTTGGGGTCCAACCGGGCCCGTTGGCTCCCACGTCGCATCCGGCCGGCTCGTGACGTTGCATTCCGCGCGAGCGTTCCTCTTCGAAGGCGGTGGGCCCTTTCGAGATGGGCCCTTTGGTAATTGTCATTTCTGACCAGCCGGACATACCCTCTTGCGTTTCTGGGCCTTAATAATATGCGGCGAGGTGCGTTCCTCCTTCTGTCTTAGCTTTCTTGTGGGACTTTGCCGGTTGTACGTTCGTACGGCGAAGATGTGTGTACGGACCTTTACTGCTCTTTCTCAATATCCTCCCTTTAATTTGTTTCGCTCTTCCTTTCTCTTATTTTCAATTCTTTTTGATTCTCGTACTCCCTTTCTGTCTTTCGTTCGGTCAGCTGTCTCTCTCTCGGTCGGGCTGGGCCCGCGTTGCGCGGCGGCCCCGCGACGAAGCGTCTAATAAAACGATCGGCGATTATCGTGCAATTATGCCGTCTCATTAATCCACCGGCAATTATGCCTTCTCGTGGACCGTTTCATAACTTATGAACGTTGACGCGCGCATGCAGCTATGTTGGGACAGGCGATGCATCCGAGCAAGCGGCAATTACACCCTACGGGGAACCTTAGGCCTTTATTACATTGAGCCACTCATTCCTGCCCGCTGTGAAGGAGCCTTTAAGCATTTATTTAAAAGCATCGAAAATTGCCGTATCACCAAATTCGGATGATTAAAAAAAATTTGTTATTAAATTCCACGAAAAATCCATCGCCGTTGATAATAAATACCTGAAAACTTTTTTTTTCCTGAAAAACATGAAAATTCTAACTCGCGCCAAGAAAGTAGACGTAAGTCGCACTAGAGGGGTTCCCGCGATCAGGGCCGTACGGAGGGCCCCCCATGCGGCCCTGACGATTACCACGGTGGGACGGCAAGGAGCGGGTCAGTCCCAAGCAGAAAGAAGGAAGGAGCAGTCGAACCGGCCTGTGATGATTGAAAAAATCCGCAAGCCAGCACCGCTGACGGACTCTGACTGAGTGACGGTCGGCGGCGCTTTTGCCACGATGTAGATTTGTTTGCATTTAAAAATCAAATCGACCGCTCCTAAGGCCCCCTTCGTACCCCCCATCACGGACTCGCTCCTTTCCTCCTGCCTCCTCTCTCGCCCTCTTATTTCTTTCTCTTCTCTCGTATTCTCGCTATACCTGCTGCAGCAGCAGCAGAAGTAGCCAGGAGGTAGTCGGAAGGTTGCTGCGTCCGGTAGGTTGGTAAGTTGGTAGGTATGCATGCGTCCACGGTTAGAGTCCATCTTCTCTGGGGCCGGAACAATGCTCGCCAGTTTTTGCGTTGTTTGCTTCCTTCGAGCGGTCAGCGGATGGATGGAAGGATCGAAGAATGAAAGGGTGGAAGGATCCATGGATCCATCAAATGATAGAATGGATCTATGAATACTTTTATCCTTGGACATACAATCGTCTACATATAACATACGATACCATAACAAAGTCTTCTATAACTGCTATCGAATCTAGAAAGATCGATAATTATCGATTAAAATCAATGATAATTTACCTGAGGTTGCACCAAGTTAAATCCGCAATCTCATCAGGGAATGACAAAAGGAATGAAGGTATAGGTACTACACTTCAAGCTCGATGTATCCCGATAACAATGAAGACCCCTACCATGGATCTCCAGAGGTTTAATTAGGCCCCGTTTTACAGACCGATTTATTTTGCATCAGTCTCCACCCCCCCCTCCTCACCCCCCATCTAGCCCCCTAGCGCTGCCCAACGGTCTATCCCCAGTCTTGTAGACTTTTTGTCCAGCTACGTCCCTTCGCGTAAACTTATATTCCAGGTAGCTTCTCTTGGTACTGTGTATTCAAGGGTTCAGGACATTGAAAGTGGACAATCGCAGTGCCCATTTATATATATCCTTAATTCAGTGAAAAACACGATTATTCGTATCATTAAATGCATGAAGGAAAATAATGCACCTGCATCTCTATAGGATGCACATTGATCCGTCCTGACGTCGACTGAAACGGACGTAATGCACCCGGGCGGTTCGTTATGCGGTTGTACAATTATGCGGCCGGGTTTACAACTGAAAAAGATGACGGATGCGTCAGGGTCGATTCGCGCACGCGGAAAATATAAATTTCAAATATCACCCCGTCGCGATGCCAATGGACGTGGGAGAGGAGGGGCAACGAGAGTCGGGGGAAGGAGAGGAGGAAAAAGTAAAAGAAACGAAGAATCAGGCGGAAGAAGAAGAAGAAGAAGAAGAAGAGGTATAGTGACGCGAAGGCGGAAAGCCAAAGTCGACGGTCGAAGAATAAGGAACGGGGCGCATTGAATTTTTGTCGGAATTTCGTTGACTTAATTTCATATCCAATTAGATTGTATCAAATTGCGCTGACGGTGAAAAAAACTCGGTTGTTCGGTACCTGTATCGATATACCTCATCGATATACATCAGAATCCTTCCTCGCGCTCATTTACATCCAGATCGTTCCCAATTCCATTTTTGGATATCACTACGACGTTGCACGAGACTTGGCAGCCTTTGAAATTTCAAATCGCGCGCCTTTCTTAACCACCTGCCTCTCTATGTTGATATCGTTAATTCTCTGGTTCACAGGGGATGGGCATGTGGGAGGTGTGTATACCCGGGCCCACGGTCAGGAAGAGGGGCCTGAGACTCGATTAATGACGCGCTGAAAGAGTTCGATGAAATAATGACGGGGCCCACTCGATAAATAGTACGCCTCTGCGCATGTCAGCTCGGGTAAGAGAGGAGAAAATAAAAAAGGTACCGCGAGAGGAGGAGAGAGGTAAAAAATACAGAAGGTAAAGAAGGATGGAGGAACAAGAGGAAGCCGTGCCGAGAGTGTATAAGATCGTGAGGAGGGAGTGTAAAGGTAAAGAAAGGGGCCCTCGGGCCCCCCCGCTTCTTCGTCCCTCTGCCCGCCCCTGTTACTAATGCCGGCCAAGAAAAGACAGCTATTAAAAGCCCCTATTTAAATATTATCAATGAAATTACAGTGCTCACTACTCACTACGCTCTCCATGGTCATTACGGACCGGCCACTTATTCGTCCTCTTTAATCGCCATTGTCAATACTAATCGACATCGCCATGATTTAATTCCTCGGTATAACCCCCTACTACTACCCATATACCCTATACCATCGTCAATTATTTTTATTTCATCTCCTCGGTCCATCCGACGGTTTTGCTTGTACCGCCAGAAAAATTTCAGGGGCGTATTAAACGTGGCGCGTGCACGCGTGGTCGAATGAGAAATTTAGTAAAGTCTAGTGTAAAGTTACAGAGGGAGGCTCGGAACGTATAGCATCCTGCTACGTAAATTAGCATATAGCAACGGAGCAGATCATTCCTACAGTATGGTAACAAGCCGGTCGCCATTGTTAATAACTAAAGTGATCTCTATCTAAATAAGTCCCTAGCGTGACTATGCATAACGGAGATAAATTACAGCTCCGTATGTGCGATTCACAATTTCATGAAGTTTCTGATTATAATTAGACGTGTGCATGTCCTGTGACTTGTATACATGTTGAGCGAGTCTCAAGTAAGTTTGGATGGTCTTTTATGCGCAAGATTGAAGTAATAAGTAGATTGTAAAGTAATAAGATATTTTTTTACCGAATAAAAAATTTTTCACCAAAATCTTTTTAACCAAATCCCACTAAGTTATCGTATAACGGAGGAATTCTGTTCCTTGGTTGATCCCGCATGAAGGTGAGTCGGCATTGTCAAAGCTGGTACGCTGGACCAGAGATGCGATCTGTCCTGACTCTTCTCAGATTACTGTATACGAGCGTGTGCTGGGAGCACGCACCTTAGCACGTCGTTCCCACGTGCCTACAAAACTGAAAACAGTGTTATTACCTGAAGTACAAAAATTGTATGATACTGGTTATACCAGTGGAATAATATACCCACCTGTATAGGTATAGGACGGTGTAGGAATGATAATTTGATTTAAGAAAAATATTATCGCAGCGACCAATTCAGAATTATTAATTGCGAACTGGCCATTATGATAATTATCATTCCCAGTAGTGATTCTCTGTGTCTCCTCTGTAAGTATATGGAGTAGATTGTTCCTACAGGACGTTCCATGTTGGTTCGTTACTAATTTCTAAGAACGGTACAGAGGGCAGCGGTCGTCACGTCCGGCCAATACTGGAAAACACTATAATTACGCGATACTTCGATACCTAACTTAAGTAGGAGGTATAGCACAGCTTCGAAGACTGGTCTGATCTACTCTTGAATTAATCGTATTGTTTCCATGGGCAAAGTGCTTATTATAGATGGGCAACTCGGCAGTATGCAAAATCTCATCTTCGGATGTATTGGGAGCTCGGGCTGGCTCTGAAAAATTTTATAAACTTTGATTCATTTATTTGTGCTATTACTGTGCCATTATCTGATTAAAACTTACAATTGACTTCATAGCCTTACGATATTGAAAATATTGTAAAGTTGGTCAGACTGTGTGCTATTATTGGTAAAAAAAATTTTTTATTTCAAACTTAATCCCTAGGGAGGAAGCAGAAGAAAAAAATTTTTTTTTACATGAATTTCGAATTCAAATGCTTTTATGATATTGAATATATCTTTTATATATCTTTGTGATTTATCTTGGTATTAATTTGATAATTTTTTTGGGCCTCAAGGCCCATCTTCTATAACTATTCTCATATCTTGTGCACTGGTAAGACCTCGTGCCCTGAAATATATTTTAAGATAAAAAAGTAAGAATGCATGATTTAACGATATATCGCATATTAATAAATTCTCACCATAGTGCACGAATATGTGATGCTGCGGTGCGCGTTTGAGATAAAATCTCTCCTTGCAAATCTCACATTCGAATCAGCTCTTAACCACCAAGCGTGAGCTTATGGGTCTTCGGTACTGGAGAACGTTTGAATCTCGCTTAGCAGATATCGGGAAGGCACTTCCGCACTGTGAACAATTATATGGGCCCTAAGACTACTGGGCCTTATAAATCTCTTCTTGCAAGCCGCGCGTTAGGAAGGCTTCGAGGTTTTGTGTAGTAAGCTGTGATCCTTGGAAGATTGCTTATGGGCCAGTACTTTCCTGCGGGCCTTACCCTAAATGAGCCTTATTTTAAAGTGCACCGATGCAATATGACTCTTCAGGACTTCCATATCAGAATATGGACAATTGCAATACTCGCAGATACATATAGGATTTTCATTCTAAATGCACGAGTATACGATCCTTCGACGTAGTTGACCTGTGAAAATTTATGAAAATATACCTCAATTTGAATTATCGATAATATTAGATATCTTTAAGTATCATGCTTTACCTGGAAATTGTATTGTGCATATTTCATAAAAAATAAGCTTTCCATCACAGTTACAAATCGTTCGTACATTGAACTTGTCTTGATCAGGAAAATCAATCCTACATGTAGAGCACACGAGAAGTCAGCCATTTCTCAGAGCTCTTAGGTACTCCTCGAGGTCGATGTACTCCCGGACAACGGACTCTGTCGCAGAAGAAAGGACCTTGCCAGTCCGTGGAAAGAAGTCAGAGTCCTTGACGAAGGGAAGATCCTCCTAGAGGTCGACCTCTATGTACTATTCCATATCCAGATCATCCTGCATAGGGAAGTTACCGGTTTTCTCCAGCATCTCGCTCTCGATCTTCACCTGAAAGATCCAGACGCTCTTAGAATAAATGCCTACTAATTTTCAAACCTCTAAAACACTGGATCCAAGTTTACCTTGGTTATGCAATTCTGCGTAGACATTTCTCCCTCCTGGTACACGTAATACAATAAATCCATAAGGCATTCGTGACAGCTGAAAAAAAAAATTTTAATATGAAATTTCGGAAATTATCAAAATTTCATGTATCATATATGTTACACACCAATTGGTGTTTCAAATTTATGAAAAAAGTATGGAGTACGTTCCAAGACCCGTTATGGTGGATTTAACAGTTTTCCATATATTTTTTTTTTTTTGCCAATTCTGAAAAGGCATCGCGAAGTGTCTATAACCTCGGCGAGGATAGGGTGCGAAAGTAAAAAGTTTAGCAGGCATTAGAAAATGGCGAGAGAGTCGTTTTCATCCCGCGAGATAAATCCGTGACTCGTAACGTCCCGCGTCGTGATGCATGATTTCATGGAACTGGCTCTCTGTGGTAACGCGTGTGGGAAACTCGCCGGATGCATTATGTATTTATTGCTTTACTTAGTTGGGAATTACTTTGCCACCGTAATGACTTTCAGCAAGCGCTATCTTAGGAATGCTATACCGCTGATTTATCGTCGATACACGCTTTCTTGGACTATTTTGTTATCGGGACTTGTCCTCCTGGTATACAGAACGTGCACCGCCTATGGGAGGACCCCAGAAAGGGTTGCCAACGCAATAGGAAGAATCGATGGATTAAAATCAAAGATCAAGAAAATACATGGCCAAGTATCTGCCGTTGGCTATTGATTTTTTTTTCAAACAAACATATCCGCATGACTATTCCAAAAATAGAAAATTTTTTACGAACCACATAAGATATTGGTAATGAAAAATATTTTCAGAATTTTCGAACAACATTTTATACCATCAACATTTTTTACTTTTTATATAAATAATTATTAATCTTATATGGGTATAATGATCGAGTCATTATCATGAACGTAATATGGTATTTACCATGGTTTATGATACGAGAGTAAATGATGTATAAATGGGCCTTACGAAGACAGCGTGCCTTGGCGAAATCTTTCATTCCTTTAACGTGATCATTTAGCTAATTGCCATGGTCGCGCATGAGAACTCGTAATAAATATTCGCAAATAATTAAAGTACACTCTAATAATCATTTGTACGCTCGGACGACCGACCAACGTTACCGGTTCTTGTTTTTGTTAATTAACAATAAATTGAAAATCAGTACGAATAAACACGTTTTGTACGAGGTTAAAACTTTTTAATGTACAATTTTCCTTTTTTCTTTTTTTTTTCGAAAAAACTTCATCTATCTTATTATACATATATGATAAACGAAAATTATGATATATGATAAACGAAAATATGATTAAGGCCCATTCAATTAACGTGGGCCTATTATTATTAAGGCATCGCGGAAACAAACCGGGCCTGATTCCTATATCCGATATGTAGATTGGGCCTTGTATTATCGTGTTTTTTTCGGCAATTAAGTAATCCCGTGTGAACGGTGCCTAAAATACGCCCAAGCCGATGAACTCTTGTCGACGATCTTCTCTTAATGAGATTGAAGATTCCGACATGGCGAATAACCGTACGCGATTACGTGATAAATAACGAGCTGTACAATCAGTGCCATCGCTAATAGTACCTACGTATGTGGATAAGTAATAACCAGAATGGATGGATAAGTCGCAAGAAAATGGGTAGTCACAATCTGTCACGTCGAGTGATAAAAATTTTTGAAAAATAATTTTTTCAAAATCATCACGAGTCTCGGACAATTCCGCAGTCGAGCTTGATGATTATTTGATTAGCCAGGTTAGCATTCGATTAGTCGGATCCCACGCGTTAGGAGCGTGACTAAGAAACTTTCTATTAAGGAAAAATATATAACAAATAATTAAGAAAAACAATCGCACAGTCACCTTATCTTCCTATAGATTGCAATAATCAATTGATAATAAACAAATATACTCGTTGATGATAATCTCATGAATTCCAATTCCGATAAACTGACAGGCTAATAAACATACATACATAACGTCGTCGATAAATTTCTTTTTCATAAAAATCCACAAATTCTTTCAATTCAACAATCTCTTATCAAACTGATAATAAATCCGATGCGATAAGAACAATCGACAAGCCTATCAAGGAAATATCACTTATAACATCGTTCGATCATCGTTTCACCTGTCCTCGTGTAAAATTTTTCATATGAATTTTGTGAAAAATTAAAAAAAAAATAATGCCATAACTTTTCGAGAACAAAAAACCAAAGTGAATAAAATAACGCGCGAGAACCGTCACACGCAACCTCGGAATTTCCCTGTTCGCATTAATAAATCAATGCGCGCCTAATGACAATGAGCTGAGAAAAGTGTACGGCAATGACAGGCCGTGTCATTACTGCGTTACTTATAAGCTTCTAGCTGGCGCAGGCGCGTATCCCGCATACGAATGAACTGGCCGATTACAAAACCTTATGAAAAAGGCGACCTCTATGGAACGCCATGTATGCAAGGATAGATCATTTCTATGCGTAAGCCAAAGATGTATATATATACATAAACATGTAATATAAGACAGAGTAAATAAAAGAACAGAAACACAACAAAAGAATGCACCGGGAGTCAAGTATTAATCAGCCATTAATATGTACATTGAATATTGATTGATAGAGACTCTAATCGAAGAATCTGTTTCGCAAGCAATCTAACCTATACTATCTGGCGATACTTGCATCAATGAAAAACTTATTACCGGATCGATATTTCATAGAACGATAAACGTCTTTTCCGATTAAACCGACGACAAATATACGATAAACGCGTATACCTATGGCTTTTTCTAGATAAGAAGAATTTTTCAACTATCCTCGAACCTCCTATGGATTGTAGATCAAAACTTGACGGGCAGCGCTGAAAAGTTTACGTTAAGGAATTATCGGGGCGAGAGCTAAAGGTACGTTCACATCGACGGGTAACAAACACATCATTTTCAAAGAGAAGAGTAAGTGCCGAACGACAATCCCATTTGTAATGGAGGGAAAGAGGGAGGTGGGTGGAAAAAAAAAGAGGATAAAAGTTGGGAAGGATAAAGGTGGCTAAGGAGGGTTGGGTGGGGGGTCAGGGAGGTGAGAGTTAAGGGACGGAGGTTTTCTGCCTTCTCACACAGAGTAGCCAGAGGGTTGAAGCCGTGCCAGAGATCCTTCCAGGAGTCCAGGACTCTGGGCGGTGAAGGGTGAAAAAGAGTGAGATGCATCCTTAACATGGTTTGCGAGAGAGAGAGAGAGAGAGAGAGACGCTATTTTGGGGGCTGGAGTGGGCAAGGGGATAAATGCGCTATCATGCCGCTGTTTCCGCCGCCAAACATCCCCCTAACCTAACCTCAAACATCTCTTAGCGGGCCGGACGGGCCGTAGACCGTTTCGAGAAACAAAACAACCTCAGAAATTATGAGTCTTCTTACAATCCGCAATAACTGCTTTGATATATATGCCGCAGACTTGCTCCGTGTGCCTGTACTCTACCGAATACTGTTGCAGTGTATGATTCAAGAAATTCATCCTGATAACGCTTATCATATGCATGATGAAACACGAGATTAGTTCAATACCAGTCAAGATTATTGTAGATCTTGTCGGAAGTGAAGATTCTTTGATATTCTTAATAAGTTCCGGATTGGCTTGAATTATGAGAGAAAATATCTTGGTACACTCTATATGTAAGTATTATGGACTATTTACAGGCAGATATGAGAATTTCCTACATATGGATGACGCATAATGTTTCTAAGGTGCCTTTCGCGCGTATTTCAAATCCCATGGTGAGATGGTAAGTGCAATCTGTGCACGCACTGGTTTACGCCCTGCTCTATAAGAGAAAGAGAGAGAGTAGGCAAAAGAAGAAAAAAAAGACACGAGAGCTCAAGAGGAAGAGAAAAAAAAGATATAAATTCACCTCGCGTCTTGTGCATTCACAAGCGTGAAATTAAAGACCAATTGGTGGGAAGAACACGGCTGGATACCAGGCACGAGTTTTTTAATTTATTTTTTTTTTAATGCAACTCCTCGCCACCTTTCGGAAGCCTCGCTAAATTCATCCGAGACAATTTTACCATCTTCATTTGAAATAAGTTTCGCCCATCATGTCGCCCGGACGATATTAATCGGTACCTTGGATCGAATGAGATACAGATCCTTACAGTTAGAATGAAAAATTGTTGCCGATGGATATCAGTGTTATTAATAAAATATTTTAATATTACATTATCCTAATTGACTAATGGATGAAAGTAATTAATATACCACACTTATCAATTTTGACAAGCTTATAGTTGCTTTAAATCTTCTCATGAAGGGATACTCTAATTATTATTATTTACAACTAGGTAATTACTGACTAATTACCAACTTTAAAAGGATCCGACGATATATAAATCTTGCGGAATTTTTATGATCACGTGTACTTTATATAAATGTAAATTGTACTGCACTTTCATGACGCATTATACTCATAGATATAAAACTGATAAAAAATGGAAAGAAATTCCATAAGATTGGACGGTAACACTATTGGTATGACATTTCGCTGAAATTATTATCAGACCATGTAGCAATGCTAGTTATGGTGTCGATAATGGTGATGTTCCCAATGGCAATGGTGGTGGAATTGTTCGGTAAGAAACGAATGAAGGGTTTATCTTAATCCACGGTTCAGCGAGCAAAGAAGCTCAGAGAACGAGACTCGCCAACCCCTTAGTTCAGCAGAACCCCTAGTAGAGCATTCAGCCCCTTCATAACCGATCACACTTGGCTTGTTTTAGCTGAACTTTTTTTTCTCACTCCCCATAGACTGATCCAGGGGCTTAGAAACAGAGGGATGAAATTCTTTAGGATCTAATGTCATCCATAAATTATTCCCATTGTTCTAACGTTGAATTGTGAGGAAATGAAAAAAAAGCAGCAATTTTAAATTGATATTATAGTCCAAACGGAGAAACAAGGGTCTCGAATGATCCTTCTGTTTACAATGGACGGCTAGATTGTACCTGACTATTATTCTAATATCGATGTTCCTGATGTTGAAGCCCCAGGTATTATACCACACCCGAACAAAAACCTAACCTCACCATTCTCAATTCGTTCTGGTGAATAAAAGAGCGAACGCGTTCATGAAAAAGCACAAGAAGAAATCCGTGAACGTGTATCTAAGTTAGAGAGGAGGAGACAGCGAGTATAAGAAAAAGTAACACGTACTACACCCGTGGACCATACCCACAGCCAATAATTCAGAGTAGCTCAATATTATATTAGTTAGTTAATTTTACGCTGTCCAAAGCCTGACATTCGATTTCAATGTTCATTATCATAGCCATTCTAGCTGAGGAGGGTAACGTCACTATATTCTTCTTTTTTTTTTAATTCAGTCAAAACTTCATGGATTCACAAGAAATGGCATTACGGTAGAATTCAATCCGAAATGAAAAAAAAAACTATCTTGAAACCGATACGTATTTTACGGTATGATGATTGAATTTATTATCGAGCAATATTGAATATCGATCTGCGTTTGCTATGTACATATATACATGCACGAGCGATGGTTATAAGATGAACAAAAACGTATATTAGGCCCGAAAAGAAAGAGAGATATGAAAGAGTGGGCCGTTGTATTACAAAGAGAAAAGATAAAGAAAAAGGAAAGTGGAATTTCGAAAAAGACTGAGAATAAAGTCCATTCCCGTAGCTGCCCGGTAATAGACTGTGGTAATGGAGTGATTTACATGTCAAGCTGTCAAGAATGTGTGGTGCCTACATTAGCGGAGTGTTGTGGCAGCACTGCCACCGTAGCGCTGTCGACATTAGCGCAGGGCCCAGGAGATGCCCAGGGGCCTCAGGGTAATTGGTAACAGGTGGGCCCCCCGAAGGTTCCCTGTCTGACAGCGAAAAGGCTAACCTACTGCCTTCTTTCTCTTACGCCTACTCGATTTCTTATCTTCCTATCCTCTCTATCCTCTACACGCTTTCCACTGGACCATCTTCTCTATCTCCACCTCCACTTCGGGTCTCTCTTCCTTTTCTTGCTCCCTCGCTGTCCCTTGATTCTGCTTTACGGTCCCCGTCTCAGCCATGACTAATGTCCAGAAGCAGAGAAAGAGATTAACGCCTCTGGAAAGGGACACGTTGAGAATCACTGACTGATACTTCTTTACCTTAAAGACCTGGCTCAACGATCATCTCAATATTCCTCGACTTCCGGTACCGCCACATCCGTCGCCCAAGGCGCCGCTTTATTTTTTACCACGTTACACCAGTAACCCATGATCCATGAATTCTGCAACCTCAGAGTTTATGACAATTCCTGTGCGTCCTGCTCCAGTCTGTCCAAACTCTATTCAGAGAGGCCACCGACGTAGAGCCGGTCTCGTGGTCTGCAACAAGAATACAAGAAATGAGGATAAGGTAATGAAAACGAAAAAAAAAGGCAGAAGAAAGGAAGAAGTCACAGGAGTCCGTACCTTGACACGAACGGTAACCAGTAAAAAGTCGATGCCTCCCAGTGACAATGTTATGGCGTGGAAAATGAGCTGTGCCAAGAGAGGAGTACCAGCGGTACACGAAGAAGGAAGTACCTATAGAGGATGAAACGTATATAGTAGTAAAGTAAGCGTAGGAGGTGTACCAACTTCGAAGACAAAAATGGACAAAGGCTGCTGACCCATCCACTCAAGTGACACCTTCCCAGGACATCACGATTTCACATTCACCAGATTGGTTGCAGATGCTGGTCTCGCTAACATAAACCATAATATATATAGTTACTCATAGTCAGAGAGCGTAACAGGATGACAGTGTAATATATAGTAAACTATTCTATGCCGTCCTCCATCTATCTACGTACGGCTGGACCAGGAAGAGAAGAGTCATGAGTATAAAATCCACCCGTGGCACTACCTTCAGGGACAAACGTACGGACGATGGGCAAACACCTGTAACGCATCCATGGCGTCACGTGCTCGGGCGTGGCCGTGACAAAATGACATCGATCACCGTAGAGACACGGAACGAGCTGCCGATCGATCGGCAATCGAGGATCGTTCCGCCGTTGGCAAAGAGAAGAAAAGTGAAAAAAAATTGAGATACGGATGATGGTTTAAAAAAAACCGATCAGCCCGTGCCTCAAAAACATTGGAATATCCTTAAAGCCGTGTCTGCAGTACCGCAACGATTAAACCGCAAATCCGTCGACGGTTAATAAACGAGTAACCGATTTATACAGCATCAGAAGCTCTGGACTCCTTGAACCTTGACGAGAATCCTTTGACCATCCTGTCAGTTACTTCTTTACGTGGTCCAGCCTTATTGCTTGTGAGATTACAAATTAAAGATTTCTTTGGTTATTAGGTATCGGCTATGTCAATTTTGTGGGAACGGACTCTTATATGAATTGTCACAGATGCTTTGGTATGAACTGACTTTAGTGGGGGGTTTAGCTAAAGAGTCATCGTGACGGGGCGATACTCGCCCCCATGACATGAGATTCCATTTTAGTCACTATTTATCTTGTTATATGGAAGTAATTCGATTATAACGATAGATTAATGTACGGTTGGACATTCTTGATCTTTTTGAGGTTATGTCCAACTTTACGAGCATCGATAATCAGCCTGATACTTGTCTTGGGCATTTTCTAGCGCTTCAGCCCCCGGCCATGAAACATGGTTATTCGATAGAAAATCAATAACCAGGTACAATAAGTAACCACTGGACAATTCATAGTGGTCTCCAATCAATGATTCAAGGGAGCGTTTGCTAAGAATGGCGAAATAACGTGCAACGAGACACTTAACAGCTACACTGGCAGTGGCCATGTGTTCTATAGTAATTGTAGCCTGGCGCTCTTTTACCAAATATTTGTCGTTATTCACCAAATAGTACACGTTACTGCCGTAATCACACTTGCACCCCTTTTTTCTTATTTTTCCTTCAATAGAAACTTGCCAATGGTCAAAGGACAAATTCTCATCCGGAATACATCAGAGAACAGTGAATCTTTCAGTAGCCAATGTTGTCCCCGGTGGAATCTATAAAATTGAAAAAAAAATGTACACGCTACAAGAATCTCAATGAGTATTAAGATTATTTTCTCCTCGCTCATCATATATTGACTTACGAAAATTCTGATGAGTTCCAAAAGTCCGAAAAGTCAATGGAACATTATCCCGTTTCCTTGAAACGTCGCCGAGTGCGATAATAAGTAAACCGCAGTAAATGCGTGGGGTGAGCTTGGACAGGCAAACCGGAACCGGAACACGTCAACACGTCATCGTCCTCGTGATCGTCAGGAGGCCGGGAGGTGTTTGATCAGGACGCTAATGTAATACTGTTTACCCAGAGTATCGTGTGTTCTCCGTGTGAAACCCAAGTAGAATACTAAACGAACTCGCAGACTACGTCATGAATTCCATACTGCAACAATTCATATAAAATAATTAATATAGAACCGTGGCATCAACGGAATGCAATAATATGTACATACGTATGGGATACGTAACTGGATGAAGATTACTTATTAGTCGTTATAAATAATCAAGAGTAAAGAAGATAAATAAAATCGTCTTATCAATTAACATCAGTATGAAGTATGGCGTTACAATTAAATTAAAAGCCGCTAATTAACAAGGAAGACTCGCAGAACCGATCATAGATGCTAAACTGACAGAACCGGATACACGTTCATATTTCTTTCTCGATTCGCAACTTCCGCCAGGATGCTCGGTGGGTGGTAGTTACGCGCATGTGACTACGGTGTACAAAAGGATAGGGTACCGTTTAGAGTCTCGATTTTTTATAATTAAACAAAAAGAGGTTACTTTGCCAAGCGCAAACGTCTTCTTGCCGGTCAACCGATCGGCATACCAAATGCCCATCCAGTTTGCAGTTACGGACTTGGACTCATGACATATCCATCCTCATACCGAGAGTCCAGACTTTCCAGTCCTCTTGAATCGGCCGGTTTTTCATATCGTGTGACATTCTGCTTCTGTAACGTCGCGCCAGTTTCGAACCGTCCCAAGAGCTCATCTTGTAACTCTTGCCAATTCGTATGGATCCCATTTGATTTCCCACGATGCGTCGTTCCTGCTTCTGGGTTCCAATTTCATCTGGACATCCTCAGCCGATCAACGTACGTTTATCTGAAATTAAATATTCCTATGTATGAATAGAGTTAGGGGTATTATCTATAGATTGTGTTTAAATTAGTGTCATGGATCTAGCAAGTAGGACAGGGACGAGAGGCTATTTATTAATTGTATTAATTTATTAATACGGTTGGTAGCAGTCATCGTAGTGAATCATTGGTGAATGTCGTTAAGGTTCTTTCGTCATACTGGTGATCTACCGGTGAATAAGAATGCTACACTTGAGAATGTATCTCACATGGTGAAACAGATTCTATAAACCTTGTTCAAGAGTTGATATAAAAAAGTGGAATATAAAAAGAAAATATAAAAAAGGAAATAGAATACCAACGAACCAGCGGGTCTCCAATCAGTGAAAATTAGATTCCAATGTATTTTCATCTTGACTGACAAAGGATTGGTCACGACTGGCGGGACTGGATCGTCCACCGTGTACGAAGCAATGATGCTCCCATTCTTCATTGGTTATACATTATCGTTGCCATTCTTGATAAAGAAAATATGGCTACTGTTAATGTACTGTAAAAATGACAATTATTCTAATCTGATAAGTAATACTTCAAATCTCGTTAGTTCATAATGATTGTATAATTTCGTAATGAAAATATTCCTATTGTTATTTTTATCGAACAATTACAGTTGTTATCTCGTATAAAGATGAACTGGGAAACCTTCAGTTGATTAAGACAAATATAATTAACAAATGTCTATTTTATTATTCTCGAGAATAATTCACTTGGATTAATAATCTTTTATTAAATTCTAACTATGTTGCAGGAGTCAACAGTGCGGAAAGCAAAAGTTAACTGAGTATCTAATGAGATTCGTTATCCAGATACGGTTTTTTATGTAAAAATTATAAAAATTAAAGACTGAATAATGTCGAAAGTATTACTCTCTATTGTTGGTACGCGTCTCGACTAGACAGACTGACAGGAACACTTATAGAAGAAATGAAGGAGAAAGAAGAACGAGTCATTGACGATCCGGAGAGTGAAGATAATCTCTTGGAAAGGAACCACGTCTTCCTGGAAGAGCCGGTCTAGCTTCATCAATGGACCATAGATGCTGTACCTAAAAGATTTCACGATTTCATTCTTAATATACATAATTGAATACTGAGAAGTAGAATGTTATACTTCAACGAATTTACATGGTGACTTTAGGAAGGCCTTACTTCTCCATCAAAATTTATTCTTCACACTTTTTCATCTCGACGTTCAATCCGCAGCAGCCTTACATTACTATTCGTCCGTTTCCACGTTTTTTAAAATATTTCTTCAGACTTCTCTTCCATGCTTCACAGCATCCACCGCATCTCATGGACCTAAAACAAAAGAGTACAATCGTTGGCAGGATGAATAATCTAATTTACCTGTAACCAGTCAAAGAACGTGCCAAGACCCTCTTGAGCTTCATAAAGTAGTCATTACCCCAAAGACGATCCAGATTACGAAGATCGCACTGTTATGTGTCACCGAATTAATGTTTTTTCATATATCCACCAACGTTTTCGAATTCTTTACAATTCACCATTGAAAACAGTAGGACAATCTTCTCATGCTCAGACACTGTATAAGGATACACACGCTAGTATCTCCTTTGACGGAAAGGATCCAAGGGCGAGATAGCATCTGCCGATTCAACCTGGAGCCTCGGTGGCATCGCGGCATCCTTGCAAATTGAGTTCGCCTCTTGGATTCCGATTAATTATTGGGACACTATCGAGATAGCATAATGCTGACGTTTGAGCAGGACAATAAAAGATCTACAGTGCCATCCAGCTCGAGGGTACCATTGAAATTTGCAATAGCCAAATGCACCAGCCGCATCTCGTACCAGCATCCACATACACGAATCCTACAAAGCATATATAAATCCGTATGGTAAAAGCGTAGAGCATTAGCCGTTAAATTTCCTTAAGACAATACAAAAAGAAGAGTCAAAAACGATCCTGGGAACGTCTGGCTCGAGTTCCCAGGAGACGTGGAACGAGCCGCTCGACACGGCGTGGCTCGTGTCTGCTGCATCATCTTCAAAGGCTCGACTTCTCCACGCTAATCATCAGACGATCCCACCCACCTCAACGATCCCATGAAGATTCAAAGCCGAGCACGCTCGTACCACGGATAAATAACTGATTTCTTCACTAGCACTGCCCAGGAGTATCTCGTTGAATGCCCGTAACGGGATCAGGTATCCGAATCATTCTCCAGTGTTAAATACATTTTTCCATTTCCGGTTTTGAAGCACAAATATAACCGCAAACCTCAGGCCCAAGTCCAGCCATGACTAACTACGACGTGGAAGCACCTAAAAAAAAATTACAAAATTAACAAACAAAAATTTATCAAAAATTTCTAACAAGAACCTACCGTCCAGAGTAACTTATGAGAGAGGTGTGAAGAATGAAGGGAAAGACCCAAAAGGTGGACGACCAGGCAAGCATTGTAATGGGCATCTGATCCGGTGGTCCACGGTACCGGTTTACATGCACGTTATCGACTCCATGTTTTTCTACTATTTTTTTATCACCTTCTGGGCCTCCGACCGTCCATCCACAATGACCGTAAGGGGACCGAGAGGGGCCTTGTGTCATGCCGAATCGATGAAATTAATCACGCCCTCCTTCGCTCTTCCTCCAACTCCCTAGAATACATATACATATCTATGTAATATATACATATATACTAACTATGCATATAAACAGTCCACGTGTCCAATATGCTATTTTGACAGTTCGCAAACAATGCAATATCTGGAAAATAACACTTTTTCCATAAAGTCACGGAAACGTATGCAAATATAGAGAAATAATATATATTCCAGTAAAAAATCATACGAAAACATACTTTGTAACAAAAACAGTGTGCAGAGCCACGTGTGGCTTAGGAGAGACTTCATTGTTTTTGAATTGTCAAAAAAAAAAACAGATTGAACTCATGGACCGACTATATTTATACATATAGGTATATACTGCGTGATCTAACCTAAGAATCGGACGAATCTCTGTCACTGTGGTTTGTATCTATATCTTATACGTGTGACTATCCTAAGCGAGTGTTCATCAGCAACGGAAGGAGTAACGCGCGCGGCCTTTTCAGCCATCTTTTTATCCGTTGAGGTGCCGACGCTAATCCTGAATGATTGCCACGACTATTTTTCAACACTACCCCCACCTGACCCTGCACCGCCACATCAGACTACCCCACCCACCCAGATTCATTCCTTACACCTATACGTATGGTACCACTACAAGATCCCCCCTCCCTCCCCCAGCAGCCCCCACACGCTATATCCTTCCACCTTGGCTACCTACCACTTGGATTTCCCATCGTGATAGAATTCTTGGAAAAGGAGGAACAACTCCAGGAACCTGGATACCGAGATGATTAACACAGCGAAAGAAGAGGGAATAACGGTCCGCCAATTGGATACAGGAGGTAAATCCACGCGTGCCAGGAATATTCCTTTTTTCATTCCACAAGGTGATAATTGACCACGTGGTGGTGACGTTTGCGATAAAGTTTTTTTTTTCTGTTACAGCAAGAAAAAAACGGAAATAAAGATGGACCGAAGTGAACGGACAGGAGTAAGGGAAGGAAACAAGTTTATCGAAAGGCAATGAATAGGGGTGGCTCCGAGAACGGGAGAAAAATGCGAAACTGTAAATTGTGCGTGGGAAGAATCGCTCCCAGGACACTCGTACGAATTTTCCAAGTATAAAATGTGTCTGTATGTATGTATATATATATATATACAGACTTGCCGTATGGGGTGAGTCCTGGTAAAATCGTCCTCTCGAAAACTCTGTAGGATTTAAATGCGCATCGAAGCGAAAGGCCGTGGGACTTGGGGTTGCTGGTGCTATTGGGCGGGGGAGGCGGGAGGGTGGTTTCGGGGACGGTCTTGGAAATTTGTTACGTTATGTCGGACTATCGCTCCCCAGTGAATATGAAAAAAGAATTTTCGCGGAGCTTTCCTGCGGCTTCCATATCGAGGGTTGAATAGGGTGGTGGTTTCGGGAGGGAGCGACCAGTCACCGGGAGGAGGAAATAAGGGAAGAGGATATAGTATGCCTCGTGGCTACGAAGGTGACGTCGATGGTAGGGGAAGGCTCGCTGGCCAGGAATATAAAGCACGGTATAAAAGGAGAGAGCCGGTCACACATATGCGACTCGTAAAAGCTTCTATGAAAAGCTTGCAAGCATATAGGAATATATATATGTACAGGTACCTAAATATCTCTTCCCTTTATGGAATTGGTTACTTCGATATTTTCTGTCAACCCGGTACATAGGCTAAGGAACCTGGTATCGTTCACTGCACTTGACTGATATTCAAGTAATTTCTGAATAAATACTTATATGCTGATTGGATAAAAATTGTCATTAATCGATTAATAATTATTTTCTTTGAATGACTGTAGAATTTTCAAATTAAAATCTTTCGATTTTATACCAAGTGATTATTGAATCCTTATGGGGGGAGGTGTAGTGGGAGGGTAAGTTTTGCGGTGGTACTACCGCCACTGCTCTTACTATTGGAGACGAGGTGGTTTCTATGGTAACGCAACTCGCGTCCCCGGTTTTTCCCAATATCGGCAGATATTAAGAAATAGCTCGGAGGTATTTTCGTATTTGCAGACAGAAATGAGCCATTCGTCTGAGAGCGGGAATGAGGCACTGTCTATGCACGGCACGCCGTCCTGTCCGGCTGGTCCTATAAATAATATCTTTTCTCTTTTCTCTCTCTCGTTTTCTTCTTGCCTAGCCCAACCTAAAGTAACCTAACCTCTTATTCCTCTTCCACTTTCCACCCCTTTTCCATTCTCTCTCTCTCTCTCTCTCTCTCTCTCTCTGTTATATATATTACTTTGCCACCTTATCCGTCTCTCTTTTTCTCATTCTCTCTATCTCCGTCTTTCCTGAATCCTAGGATCTGTTATATATATTACTTTGCCGCCCAACCTAAAGTAACCTAACCTCTTATTCCTCTTCCACTTTCCACCCCTTTTCCATTCTCTCTCTCTCTCTCTCTCTCTCTCTCTCTGTTATATATATTACTTTGCCACCTTATCCGTCTCTCTTTTTCTCATTCTCTCTATCTCCGTCTTTCCTGAATCCTAGGATGAACGAGATTTACTCATCTCTCTTCTGCTTCTCCGGATTTCTTCACCTCCTTCCTTCCCACTGGTACATTCCACTCGATAGTCCAAGCCAACAGGATATTTATTCGCCAGGCGTGATTTCATCCACACGGGATACTTCCTAGGAAAATGAAAATGGTCCAGATCATACGTCCAGTTCGTTCTTATGATAAATCTCCTAGTTTTATATTATCATAACATTAGCATGATGTGAAAAGTCAATACGTGGTGGACCGATTAATTAGTAGTCACCTATCCTGTCTGTGTCCAACTGAAGCGACAAGAGACGCAGAAATGACGTTTAGAAAGTAATGGTCCACGCTCGATGGCATTAAACGACGGATGATCGATCAGCCGAGTAGACGATCAAACCTCTTTTTCGCTTGAGCACTCGAGCGGTCACGCTTAGCGACGGGGGCCGATTCTTAATTAACGAAGTCTCGTGAGAAAACTTTAGAGGCGGATTCAAATTTATTGAAGCACAGCCATTTTTCCGCCGTCCAAAATGATTCCTCGGTCTGTCTCTCTATCCTTGTTCCTCGTTCTCTCTGCACTCGGTCCTCCTTCTCGCTCTCGCTGGTCACTGTAACAGACAAGATAAAGAGGTAACCAGAGGAGGACGAGAAGAGAATGAAAAATACGTACAATAAGAGAAGGAGCCACGAGGGGTCGTATAAGAAGGTTAAGGATAAGGGATAAAAGTATAAAGGAGTGAAAAGAAGCCGGACAGGGCTGGGAATCAGTTATCTTACAGTTGGCATCCGTGGAATCGCGGAGTCACGCCGGGGACACGAGAATCGGGACACGCACCATCGATCGTCCGGGCTATTCAATTTCGATTCTCCATTTTTCCTTTTTTTTTTTCCCCGTCTTCCTACTCCACCCGGGTCGCCTTTTTTCCATTTGCTCCTCTCTTCTTTTCGATTTCACGTTCCTCTAGTCGTTAGCCCACCAATTTCAATGCCGCTACAATTATCACACCGTGTATAAACTTGTGTCACCTGCAAATTCAATTGGCAAAATGAAGAATTAAATTCCGACGTCGAACGGATGTTTAGCGTTAAGTAGAAAAATCATTAGCTACTCGGCATGTACTGTAATACGGAATATCTATATGCATAGTACATTGCCTATAGTCGGTTCGACGTTTCTACACTTACTACCTTCTCGATTCCTAACGGCACTGTCGGCCATTTAATCCTCCATTTTCACCTGTCACTCCTTCCGATCGATGTTCGCACAAAAGGGAATCTCAATCCGAGAACGACTCGCGCAAGAAACTCCAACTCGTAGACTTGCCCGTGAGGTGGAAGGGATGCTGATGATGGTAAAAGAAGGACAATAATGGATAAAAGGGACGAGGAGGAGGAGGCGGGAGAAGAAGAAGAAAAAGAAAAGTTTCATGAGTCCGGATTATGAGGCAACGTAGTCGCTTTGGAAATAAAAATAGCACGACAGGAAAGTATCTACCAACCGGAAAAACAAAGACATTGCGTCCTCCAAGGGTTCTCCCTTTCTTCCCCCTCGCCTTTCTTCCCCCTCGCCTTTCTCCCCCCACGCAACGATCTTCTTACCTCCTTACGGCTTTTTCTCTGTTTTCTTGCTTCTTTACTCGCATCCTCAAAACAGAAAGGATTGTCTTCCCCGAGTATGATCGTACCGGTTACCAGTAATCACGAAAGGGTAGAGAAAAAAAGTCTTCTCTTCGCATATCAACCCGTGAATGACAATTAGACTGATGCGAGACACTAAAAATAATAATAATATCTCAATACAGTCTATAAATCCCTAATATCAATCAATAATACAAAATTTTCATTACCTCATTTCGGTATCCCAAGAAAATATTTCGCAACATTTTATTTTTCTCCGTTACATTCTTACGTACCACTTGAAGTTAGCCCTGAAATAAGAGAGAAATAAGGTAAGATTAAAAGAAAGAAAAAAAAGTGTATCGGAGTAATAAAGAAAAAAAAATCCTATAAACCTTAAGAAAAGTAGCAAAAGGACTTTCGCCGGGTGAATCTAAACAGCGTTTACAGGACGATTAGATGTAGAGAGAGGGGTCGCTGGTCGGAGAGAGGAAGAACAAGAGAGAGAGAGAGATATATAGAAAGTGGTTAGAGAAGTAGAAAAGAAATAGGGGAGAGTTCTCCAGTGTACCGGGCATGTAAGGGTGGCACGTTGGTCCGCCACTGTCCCGAGTATGTGTGCGTGTGTACGGCACTATAAGGACGCCATAGAACGGCGACAAAAATAGCGTATGATTGAGTGAGCGCCGCGAGGGATTTTCTGGCGTAGTAGGAGCGTGGAACGCGGCTGGTGATAGTGCGAGGGTCCTGCTGTAGGAGCGAGAGAGAGAGAGAGAGGGGTAGGCTCCCCTTCGACTATGAGGGGCTGCTACAGCAAAAGAAACAGCCGCGGCCGAGGTAGAAAGGCGTCGGTGTGCCAGGAGCGAATTCGCAGAGTGACATTTAACCGTCGGGACGCCCTGCGGTGCCTCGCGGGACCCGCGTAACAGCTCGAAAAACGAACCTGTCGAACCTTCGTGCTTTTTCACCTTAACCCACCAACCCTTATCGATATTCCTAGAAACTCTCTGGAGATGAGAAAACACCCGAGTCAATCCCATAGCCTACAAAATTAACGGCAATGTGGTATAGAATGACGTTAAAAAATTCATTACTAGCCCTTATGCAACGACCTGTGATTATCGGATAAACTTTATAAGCATAGGATCAATCGAGCACGGTCAAAGTTTATCGGAACGTGTTATAGTATTTTTTTCGGAATATCCACTGTAAATGGTACAGAGGGTTGACATCCTATTTGAGATTTACCCCCTGACCGATTCGCGGTAAACGAAATCATCGATAAGCGAAGGTTTGATCAACTAGACGGTGGCCTCGTCAGGCTCGAGAGGGCGGGGGGGGCGAGGGGGGAAGCTGCTCTCTACACGGGGTAAAGAGAATGTGCCAAGGGATGGATAGAGGGGTGGAAAAGAACCGCTCCTAGTCGGGGG